CTGAGCGCGGTACCGCCATGGGGCCGCGCGGAGCCGCCCTGCGCCTGAGGTAGCCTCGGCCCCCGCCTGCCCCGGGCCGCGCGCAACCGGGGGGACGGCTCAGCCTCTGCCTTCGCCGCCTCGTCACGGCCGCGGGCCTGGGTGTGCGTGTGTGCAACACACACACTCTCTCTGTCTCTCTGGCTAGGTCTCACACTTACACTCTGGAGAGGTGACCCTGACCCCTCTCCAGGGCGCGTGTGGACACCTGTGCAGACAGCGCAGGTTGGAAGTCAAAGCTGGCTGTGCACTGAGGGTTTGAAATGCGATTGTGCAGGGCGGTGTGTGTGTGTGCACGCTCCTCTGCTGCTAGCCCAGGTCTGTTCCCCTTCAGGGCGTGTTGCAAAAGGGAAGTGAATTAGTTTTTGAGGAGAATTGGCTTTTCGGAGAGGAAAGAGGCTTTTATGGCTCATGGGCTTTTTTTTCAAATTTAATTTTCTGTCTTGTGGCAGGAGCCCCCCGCTTCCTTGGCCAGACACCTTTTTTCTATAAATTTTAAATGCACCTGTATTTTACTTTCATGTGCAACCAACTGGTTTTAAACGATGTTGTTGAAACTCTTTAGAAACACTTCTTGTCTGGGCTGAGACTAAATAGAAAATGTTCAGCCCCCACCCCGCCCCCAAGAGACTGCCTTGTAGTATTAAGGAGCCAAGGGGGTTTTTGGTAATATCTTTTATTGGACCTCTGTTCAGTGCAGAGATATTAAACAAGCTAAAAAGATATTGGACAAGCAGTGCAGAGATATTAGACAAGCCTTGCTTTTCGCATCTGTCCTGGAGGATCACAACTACACTCCAGTCCCCCCGCCACTCTGGTGTGAAGGCATTTTATCCTCTTGGACAGAAGGAGCGGATTCTGTATGAGTTTTGGCCCCGTGGGCCACGTGAGTGGTGCAGTGCTCATCTGTGGGTGGGATCCACCCATCTGAGGGCCAGATCAGGCCCTGGGACCCGGCATCACCCCCTCCCTACCCTGTGCCCTGGGGCTGGGTCCTGGGCGGCCACCACCCCCTCCTTCCCACCCATGCACCAGGATTGGGCCCCGGGTTCCAGCACCACCTCTTCCCTGCCCCCTATAGCAAGATTGGGCCCTGGGGCCTGGCGCTGCCCCTGCCTGGCCTTCGCGATGGGATTAGGTGCTGAATCTAGCAGATCCAGCATGCAGGGCCTGGAGCTCCTCATGGCTCCAGAGATTTGACAGCAGAGAGGTACCCCCACTCTCCCACCACCAAATTTCCAGACTGGGAGGAGCCCTCTGGGCCAGATCAGGTCTGTGGGCCAGAGGTTGAGCACCCCTGGTCTAGGCACTTTGTAACAGTGAGCTGCCGTAATGACCTAGCGTCATGTCCCAGGGCTCTGGATCGGGAAGGTGATGCATCCTCTTATAGCTTGTGATTTATTTATTGAAGATCCTAGTTGGAGCAGTTTCTTCCTTTCTTCCAAAAGTACATGAATGACTGTGATGAGGAGACAGGATGCAGAAAAGGGTGAAGTTCTCAATGCCTTTTCCCCCTCAGTTTTCACAGGCAAGATCAGCTCCCATCTACTGCACCTGGCAGCGCAGTTTGGGGAGGAGGTGATTAGCCAGCAGTGGCGGAAGAAGAGGTTAGGGACTATTTAGAAAAGCTGGACGTGTACAAGTCCATAGGGATAGATGAGATGTACCCGAGGGTGCCGAGGTAGTTGTCTAATGAGATTTGCAGAGCCATTGGCCATCATCTTTGAAAACTCATGACTATCAGGATAGGTCCTGGGTGATTTGGAGACAGTCGAACATAGTGCCCATATTTAAGAAAGGGAAAAAGGAGGATCCAGGGAACTATAGACCAGTCAGCCTCATCTCAGTCCCTGGAAAATCATGGAGCAGATCCTCAAGGAATCCATTTCTAATCACTTGGAGGAGAAGAAGGTGTTTAGGAACAGTCAGCATGGATTCACCAAGGGCAGGGCCTAAGTGACCTAATTGCTTCCTATGATGAGATGACTGCCTCTGTGGATGCAGCGAGACAAGTGGATGCGGTGTACCTTGATTTCAGCAAGTCTTTTGATATGGTCTCCCATGACATTCTTAGGTAAGCTAATGAAGTATGGGCTGGATGAATGAACTATAAGGTGGATAGAAAACTGGCTGGAATATCAGGCTCAGAGGGTAGGAATCTATGGCTCAATGTCTGGTTGGCAGCTGGCATCATGTGAAGTGCCCCAGGGGTACTGGGGTTGATTTTGTTCAATGTTTTCATCAATGACCTGAAAGATGGCATAGAGTGCCCCCCCAGCAAGTTTGCAGATGACACCAAGTTGGCAGGGAGTAGTAGATACATTGGAGGGTAGACTAGGATTCAGAATGACCTACACAGATCGGAGGATTGGGCCAAAAGGAATCTCATGGGATTCAACAAAGACAAGTGCAAAGTCCTGCACTTAGGATGGAACAATCTCATGCACCAGTACAAGCTGGAGGCTGACTGGCTGGGCATTAGCTCTGCAGAAAAGGAACTGGGGGTTACAGTGGACAATAAGCTGAATATGAGCCAGCATTGTGTCATTGTTGCAAAGAAGGATAACGGCATACTGGACTGCATCTGTAGGAGTGTTACCATTAGGTCAAGGGAAACGATTGTGCCGCTCTATTCGGCACTGGTGAGGCCACATCTGGAGTCCTGTGTTCAGTTTTGGGCCCCCCCACTACAGAAAGAATGTGGACAAATTGGAGAGAGTCCGGTGGAGGGCAACAAAAATGGTTCAGGGGCTGAGGGACATGACTTACAAGGAGAGGCTGAGGGAACTGGGCTTATTTAGTTTGGAGTAGAGAAGACTGAGAGGGGATTTAATATCAGCTTTCAATTACCTGAACAGAGGGCTTGAAAGAGGATGGAGCTAGATGGTGGCAGGTGACAGAACAAAGAGCAACGGTTTCAAGTTGCAGGAAGAGAAGTTTAGGTTAGATATTGGGAAGAATTTTCTTACTAGGAGGGTAGTAAACTTTGGAACAGGTTACCCAGAGAGGTGGTAGAATTTCCATCCTTGCGGGTTTTCAAGACCTGGCTAGACAAAGCTTTGGCTGGGATGATCTAGTTGGGGATGATCCTGCTTTGAGCAGGAGGTTGGACTAAGTGACCTCCTGAAGTCCCTTCCAACCCTAATTTTCTATGATTCTATCATTCTATGATTCATTTTCCCCTCCTTTTGCTCTGTATTTGTCTTTACTTTGAAATGTTGCATCACACGCTGTTCACCATGATCCTGAGCTCTTCTCCAGATCCAGCAGATTCATAAATAAGCTGCCCAGTACTTGTGATTTGGTGATCTGATGGCTAAGATTCTTACATCTTAAACTGAAAGCTTAAATAAGTGGTTTTCAACTAGGATGCTGCAAGACCCTGCCCGGAATGCCA